TGTACATTATTTAAATCATCTACATTGTGTACATTAGTTAAATTATTGCCTTGTCAGATAGTTTCCTATGGTTAAAAATTAACCTGGCTTATTTGTATTTGGAATTAAATATATTTACATTTGAAATTCATTAATGAAATGAATATACCCCTTTGAAATTCAAAATTTTTTTTAAATTAGTAAAATTAAAATTTTTAAATAAAATTAAATAAATAAAAATATTCTTTTTACATTAGTCTGTTACATTTTTACATTACTCAGACTATCACTTTGTAATTTTTTTCTTAATATGCCCAGATGAGAAAAGAAATAAGCTTATTTCTAATAGAAGACTTAATAATACACATAAAATTTAGTGGAAACTGGCCAAGTAGATATTGAAGACTTTATTCATACAGATACAAGGATAGGAAACACCTTGAGAGTTAGTCTTTATCTAATGAAGGACATATTTTTCAGGTGCAAACCTTAGAGTGTATTTAGCTTGTGTGTGTGAGTTATGGTGTGGAATACAGGTAAATCTTGATGTAATGGTCCTGTGAAAATTGACAGCTGTAGAATGGGTTATACCTGCCAGATATCAACAGTGTAAATAAAAGAAGATGAGTTCCATAATTACATGTGTGTGAGTGATCTTTCTCTCTCTCCATCTCTCATATGTAGTGAATTTATGTACAAAGGGTCTTCATAATCAGGATAGTAAGGAGTGTGAATATTTTTGAATGTATGGGTGTGTGTATGTGTATATATGAATGTTGCTGTATTTTGACCAGTTGCTGTCTACATGAAGGTATGTATTTCATCTATTTGATATCAATATGTGTTTATTCATATTCAATGTTTTGAAGAGTTCATAAATTATTTTATTATTTTTAAGTTTCGTCTGGTACAAGGCTTCAAAATTTAGAAGGGGACAAACTTTATAATGGCTTCTGTAATGAGATTATTAACCATTGTCAGGGTCCGTATAAAATACTAATATGTATATATATGATGATACACAGACTGGTTGTGTGTGTATATATAATATAAATACATATATATATGTATATATATATATATATATATATATGTATATATATATATATATATATATATCTATATATATATATATATATATATATATATATATATATATATATATATATATATATATATTATGTGTGTATATATATATATATATATATATATATATCTATATATATATATATATATATATATATATATATATATATATATATATATATATATATTAGCAGTAGAACCCGGGCGTTGCCGGGGATATAACAGTAAGAAATAGATCAAGTATCCACCATCATAAAGACTGAAAAATAAAATTGACAAAGATTATTGTTTAGGTTGACGGACATGCATGTCTTAATTAGTTTTTTTTTTTTTTTACAAATTGGTCAAACCCAAACTCAATCAAAAACATTGGTTTCAAAATCAAAATGAGTCTCCCCAATTGAGACAATAAACAATACAATAAGAAATACCACATTCCAAAAAAAAAGTGATTTGTGTTGAAATCAGTTTGAAAATGTAGGTAACCTTTCTGTAATCTTTAGTTTACAATTTATGATTTTTACTATTGAATACAGCAAAACAAATTGCATATTTTGCTTGTGGTGATTCATAATCAAATTCTGATTTGAATATATTTTCTACTCGTTGTTTCTAATACAAAAATATTAACTTTATTTGGGTTTATTAATTATGACCAACAAATCTTATTCATTGGTAGCCTTCTCTGTATTATATAATAATCTTTTATAATTTATAGATTTTTTACTTGCTGAATACTATAAAAAAATTGGACACGATGGGTATTTAAAGTAGTTCCCGTTCGGTTATTATTTTTTAGTTAGGACTTGTATGTTTTTAGATTTCATTATCTTTCCCTAAGATAAAGAATTTATCTGATGTTTGTATTCGTACAATCAGTATAGATCGTTAGATTATTGTTTAAGGTTGACGGACACGCATGTCTTAATTAGTTTTTTTTTTTTACTTTTTACGAATTGGTCAAACCAAACTTGAAAAATTGTTGTTTTCAATCGTTATGAGTCTCGATTGAATTTTATTATAAATAATAGTCTTGTAAATGTAATTTTAAAGTATTTGAATGTAAAAATAAAGAAAAAAGTGTGCAAGACAATAAAAACACCACCTGCCAAACAAAAAAAATAAAAAAAGTGAACTTTTTGTTTTATCGGCTGAAAATATTTTAAAGGAAATCCGATGTGAGATGCACTTCCATTTTCACGATGTCTCTTAATCGTGTTTTCAAATTGATTTTGTGCAAAAACAATTATATTTTGTCAAGGAGGGAGAACCTACAAGGTAATTTGTGTGTAGTCAAAGAGTTTTGTTGTAATGGGACATCATCATCAATAATAAAAATAATAATTATAATAAAAACAAAAATAATAAAAAAAAATAAAAATAATAATATTAGTAGTAATAATAGTAATATAGTATATAATAATAATAAAAAAAATAATGAATATTATAAATAAAACAAATATATATTAAAATGTTTTTAAAATAAATAAAATAAATATATTCTCCCATAATAAATAACATGAAACATTTCCTGCCTGAAAAACACTATATTTACTTTTCACTAAATAACATTAGATATATCAAACATCCATCTTTTCTCTCCATAACATTTCTTGTAATAATAATAAATGTATATATATATTTTATCACATACAACCTTAAACACTTGTATATAAAAAATACCCCACAAGTACAAAATAAATAAATTATGTGAAGTTTTAATTTACAATTTAATATACTTTTATATATTATTTCTGTATATGTTTTTTTTTTTTTTTTTATTTTTGTATTCATATGTAAAGGCTATTTCTGCTGCTATGATGTAAGCGACCTTACAAAATTAAAAATATAAAAACTAAAAGGCAGGAGGTGGCATACTGAATTTACACAAAAGCTCTTTATCTAAATTCATTGCCAAGGTAAACATACAATTAACTTGCGCTGACAATGCTTCATAGAGAAACTATCACACTCGTTTAGAAGGATTTTCATGAACAAGTCAGAATTACATTGCTAAGGTATTTATTCAGTCTTATTTAAAATTAAATATCCGGATAGTGCAACACTGAAATTCAAAAGGCGCATTGGAACAGCAAAAGATGCCTTTCAAAAGCTAAGTAAAGTATTAGGAAGCAGGAAAATTTTGTTATAAACAAAAAAAAAGAAAAAAAAGAGTACTGAACTGTTATGTAATATCAGTCATACTACATGGCAGTGAATGCTAGACAATCTCATCACATGAAGAAGAGACTTGAAGCCACAGAAATGTGGTTTTACAGAAGGATGCTGAGAATACTATAGACAGAACATGGGAGCAGCAAGCAAGTTCTAGAGAAAATGGAAACAGAACGACCTGTAAACTTATGGGCTAGTTGAAATTTCTTGGGGATATTATGAAGAAAGAGGGCTTGGAAAATTTGACACTTACAGGATATATTGAAGGGAAGAAGAAAACTGTGCATAAAGAGTTTGTGTAAATGAATGGTAGAACAGGGTTTCAGAGAGATAGCAAAAAACAATTTACAAAGAGCTTTAAAGGACAGGAAATTGTGGAGAGCCATGATGGCCATCATCCTGAAGGGACACAGCATCTAGAAAAAGAATTAAATGCAATTAAAACTAATCTCTCTTTAAAAAAAAAAAAAAAAACAGGTCAGTGGTGGAGAAAAGAAATTGAAATAATTATGCAAGCTTTTTATTTCCTTATTTTTATTATTTTCACTTTGGCTTTTATTTTAGGCCCATTTTTCTGAGCATTTTCAGAAACTTTTTGTCACACTTTAATGTAACAGCACATCCTGCCACTTCCATAATGTCGAATCAGCCTCATTTCTTCCATGTTTCAAACATAAGAAAGTGTCACTCAGTTTGTTTTTTTTTTTTTTTTTTTTTTTGGTTTTTTTTTGGTTTTTTTTTTCTTTTTTCATAATCTCTCTCTCCCCAACACCCAAACAAGAACTACTACTATATGGAACATACAGCAGCATGGATGCTACTTTGAACACTTTGACCTTTGACTTGAAGAGATGAAGATTAATCTTTATCTATCCTCCTTATCCTCATGATCTTTGCTTCCTAACACCTTTTTTTTTTTTCATTTATTTCACGAACCTCATTTTGACAGTAATCATCGACATTACAATCTTAACCTCTTCAAGTCAATCGTTACTATCCTCCTTATCTCCATCATTTCCATTTTTCTACTGCTTTCTCTTCCACTTGTAATTCACACCTCATTCAAAGTTACCGATATGACAATATTTCTCAAGCTTTGTATTGGGTAAAATTTAATTAAAGAAAAAATTAAAACATGATCATAAAGAACAAGTTAAAAATAGTATGTTATATATGTCGTTCAAATAGAATGTGTTTATGCATGAAAAGATTAGTGTCTGTATGTATCTACACATACCATAAACATATGGAAAAGTAGTTTTGAGCATGCACACATGTGAACTAAACATGTATATCTTTATGCATATGTGTACACCCTCATATACACATGCATGAGATATATATACGTGTTTTTATATGATATAACCATTTTGTTCATATATCATCTATAAAGTCCTATGTTTGTGTGTACATTATGCTTATTTGTGTGTCTGCACTTACATTTTTAATGTAGTCATGAGCTTATATATATGTAAATCATGTGCACATGCAATATAAAAACTAGTTATATGTATATTTATTTACACCCCAAGAAGTTTTTGATTATGGAAATAAGACAAAAGAAATTTTCAGCTTCCCATAGAACTGAAAAAGGGAAAGCAGAGAGTAAGTGAATAAAGATATGATTGGTTTGGGGGGGTAAAGGAAGAGAAAGGGAATTAGAGGGTTATATACAGAACAAGGAAATAGGAATTGGTTTGGACACTAAGAAATGAAAGCAAATTGAAGAAGCAAACTAGACAGAAAATATCAAATAAAAGATTTTTCTATACACACATCTCTTTCTCTTTCTTTCTCTTTTTCTCTTTCTTTCTTTCTTTCTTTTCTTTTCTCTTTCTCTTTCTCTTTTCTTTCTTTTTCTTTCTCTCTTTCTCTTTCTCTTTTCTCTCTTTTCTTTCTCTCTTTCTCTTTCTCTTTTCTTTTCTCTTTCTTTCTTTCTCTTTCTCTTTCTTTTCTCTCTTTCTCTTTCTCTCTTTTCTCTTTCTTTCTTTCTTTTCTCTTCTTTCTTTCTCTTTTCTCTTTTTTTTCTTTTCTCTTTCTTTTCTTTTTTTCTCTTTTCTCTTTTTTTCTTTTCTTTTTTTCTTTCTCTTTTCTTTCTTTTTCTTTCTTTTTTTTTCTTTTTTCTTTTCTTTCTTTTCTTTCTCTTTTTTCTTTTTTTCTCTTTTCTTTCTTTTTCTCTTTCTTTCTTTTTTCTCTTTCTTTCTTTTCTCTTTTCTTTCTTTTTTCTTTTTTCTTTTTCTCTTTCTTTCTTTCTCTTTCTTTTTTCTTTTCTTTCTTTTTTCTCTTTCTTTCTTTCTCTTTCTTTCTTTTTCTTTTTCTTTTCTTTTCTCTTTCTTTCTCTTTTCTTTTCTTTCTTTTTCTTTCTTTTCTTTCTTTCTCTTTTCTCTTTCTCTTTTTCTTTTCTGTCTCTCTATCTATATATATATATATATATATATATATATATATTAATGTAGTGAATACCTACAAATTTTAGATACTAAGGAAAATGGAAAAGAAACATTTAATTGGCAGCTTGAAATAGCTTGATTGTTTTTTACAGCTTATTTAAACTTAAAACATATTTGGGATTGTAAGAATTATTCTTTGTTTGTGAGTGACTATTGCATTAATAATTTTTTTTTTTTTTTTTTTTTTTTTTTTTTTTACCAATGAGTTTTTTTTTCAAGATACAAGTCCTACTATTTAAACCATAACTGGAGAGTGAAGATAGATTCATACCTCTCCTGAGGCGATGTGGACATAAGTGAATCTAACAAAATCAATTAGAATTGAAACTTAGCTCTCTGATTTCTCATTTGGCATCACTGTCTGGCAGAAATAGAAAAAGAATTTGAATGAAAGAGAGTAGAAAGAAGGAACATGCTGATTGATCAACAAATTTTATAGTTTGACAAAATTATTAGCTTAATTTTGATCTGAAATTTTCATTGTATAATGTTTAATGCATGTGATTGAGATTTATCACTAAATTAAGTGCACTGACAAAGGATGAAATTATGTTGAAAAATGTAAAATAAGTATTTTCATCATTACTGACTTATTGACTTATTTGTAGGATTTATATTCATCACATAATTAAGGGCATTGACAAAGATTACATTTTTTTTGTATAAAGTAGTTTTTCCTTCATTAGGATATGGATTTATTGATTTTACCTATCACAAAAGATTGAAGAGGAAATGTAGAAAGAGAAGGAAAGGATAGTCAAAAAAAAAGGAAACGTTAAATATGAGAACGATAGGATAATATAAAAGAAAGAAGAGGAAAAAGAAACAGTGTAAGGAAAAGATTTAAAGAGAAGAGAAATACACTAGACAAATGGGATAAGCAGAAGGAAGAAAGAAGAAAAAGAAACTGAAATGAAAAAAAAAGAAGTATGGTTGGAGATGGTAAAAAAGAAAGAATTATGTGAAGGAAAGCAACAGTGGAAAACAGAGACCTTCAGACATTGGAAATCATGACATAACTAGAAGTAGAGAAGAATGCTTCAAAACTTATGGCAAGAAATGAAAATAGATGAAGAAAGAGAAATGATTGAAAATGTCATGAAAAGGGAATAGTTTAGAAATGAATATGAGATGGTCAAGACAAAGAAAATGGGGGGGAATTATGTACTGTTTAAGCATTTAGTAAAAGAGAAGGGTTTAGAAGTGTAGAGAGAGAGAAGGTTTTAGAAGTGTAGAGAGAGAGAAGGTTTTAGAAGTGTAGAGAGAGAGAAGGTTTTAGAAGTGTAGAGAGAGAGAGAAGGGTTTAGAAGTGTAGAGAGAGAGAGAAGGGTTTAGAAGTGTAGAGAGAGAGAGAGAGAAGAGTTTAGAGGTGTGCAGAGAGATGTAGGGAGAATGGTTCAGATGTAAATAGACAATGGTTTAGATGTGGAGAAATGAAGAGAGAAGTGTCTTGATGTAGTAAGTGTTTACATGTGTAGAGATAGGTTTAGATATGAAAAGATAGAGAAGGGTTTAGATGTAAGTAGATAGAAGACTTGATATAGAGAGAAAGGTTTACATATAAATGTAGAGGGAGAGAGAGAAGGGTTTTGGCATAGAAAAAATTAGAATGTTTAGACTTGAAAAAAAGGGTTTAGATGTGAATTCATAGAAGGGTTTAGATGCGGAGAGCGAGAGAGAAGGGTTTAGATGCGGAGAGCGAGAGAGAAGGGTTTAGATGCGGAGAGCTAGAGAGATGTGTATGTAAACGTGAGGAGATAGAGGGATTTATCTGTAGAGAGAGAGAGGAAGTGATGGATTTATATGTGGGAAGAGAGAGAGAGAGAGAGATAAAAGGCGGGGTTCATTTATGAAGAGATTGGTGGTTCAGACATAGATGGAATTCCTATATGGAGAGGTAGGGGTTGAGAGATGGCACAAAAAGTGTTGAAAGAAATGAGACAAAAAAAAAAAAAGAAAAAATCAATTTGTTCTGATTTGAGTCATTTGTATTTTATTTTGTTTCAGTCTGGTGCTAAGGTGTAAGTAGCTTTGAATAGCCATCAGTGGGAGATTAGAGTTCTGCCTACATAATCGCCTTGCAACCTGGTAGTCTACCAGAGTCAAGGGGGAGGAAAATAAACCTGTTGGTGATATTAGCAGTCTCTGCCTTTACCCACCATCCTTTGCTGTCTTTATTTTGCATCCCCTCTCACTCACTCACTTACCCCCCAAACACATTTACACACACACACACAACCAGAGCATCATTGTCATTTAAAAAAAAATTAGATGAGTTTGATGAGTATAGGAAATCCTTTTTATTAATACACTTTCTTCACACTACATATATGTACTTTGGTAGGCACATATTACTTTGGTTTCAGTAGTTTTTAGTCCAAAATTGCTTGAGTCTTGTCTGAGAATAACATACGTTAGTATGCTTTGATGTACATATGTGTATACCTGTCTTTCTCATTCATATATAATGTTTTGAGAAAGAGCTTCAGCTCTACTTGAATTAACTGGTCCTCTCATAAAACAAATAGGTACTTTTGGGGGTGGGGAGAGATAATTTTTGTAGATTAGAATTCATTAGATCTTCCTCATGTTATGGCTTTTGTCAAAATCAAAATTTTTGTTTTATCAGGAGTCCTGTTCATAATGTAAAATTTAACAAAATTATGAACAGAGGTAAAGCAGCTGTACCCACAATTATAAATAACCCCAAGGTTATATTTTCCTCGACAGATAAGACAAACCTCATCACCTCCATCTTTGCCTCTAACATTAGATGTCAAAGACCATGCCCTCTTCAAATTCCCACATGTCACTGAGCACAATTTCAGTAATATTATTACCATCACAGCACAAGAAGTCTCTAGACTTATCAAAGGCCTTGACTCTAAGAAAGCCACCAGTCCATACAAAATTCCAGTGGTTGTCCTTGAGAACATGAACCTGGAATTATCCCCAATCTTAGCAAAATTATTCAACTGCTGCTTGGACAAATCCTTCCCAAGCTTGTTGAAATTGTCATGTATATGCCTGGTTTTTGAGAACGAAGGTGTGCAATCTTCCCCCTTCCAGTACAGACCCATCAGTCTCCTCATTATCATTTGCAAGCTTTTTGAGGCCATAATCAATCCAGTTATTGAGCACCTAGAAAAGAATAAACACTTCAGTGATGAGCAGTATGACCTGATCAACTGCTAAAGTCTTAATTATCATCAGTGAGGCTCTTGATGACAAACACATCTTGAGAACCATAGCACTAGATATATCTCAAAGGCCTTCAACACAGGTGTGGAATAAAGGCTTACTACACAAGCTTTCCAGTTATGAAATCACCAGAAGGGTCTTATGATCATAAAATTCTTTCTGACAGGTAGGCCCCAGAGCCATAGAAGTCAATACAGCCAAGGGTCACTCATTGGACCAACCCTTTTTTTTTTATCTCCATAAATGATCTGCTTGAGAATATACTTAGATCATTTGTCAACATCTATGCATATGATACAACTATATACAAGCACACCTCTAAAACTCTCAATTGTCAGAAATTGGCAATTAGTCTCTCTTCCAATCTTCTGAACTACCACCAATCAGGATGAATGGAAGTCCTCTCAGAGAAGCCTCATGCCTTGAAAGACTGTTGGGCCTACAAATCACATCTGACTTCAAGTAGAACAAGAGCCATAGAAAATTCTATGCAATTCCAAGCAGTTGGCTAAGCCAATTACTTTGACTATATTGTTGCTTTTAGCTACGGGTACACACCCACATCCCATCCTGCATTTGGAAAGTTAACATTGCATTTATGTAAGCCTTATACACATTTCTCCTGTTTAAAATGGCATATTACAAAGGAGTAATTATGAAACATTTTTGCTCCTTCCAAGCCAGTCAAAATAATCTTTTTTGTGTCTGCATGCCTCACAGTTGAAAGGCTAGGTTTGTCATGTGCAGTGGCTGATGTGGTGGAGGGCTTGAAACATTGCAGGTACTTGATTGCTTAGCATCAAATATTTCTTTTTTTTTTTCTATCATACATTTCTTTGTAGGCAGCTTGCAAACCTACCCTAAACTTAAATCTTGTTTCTAAATTAAAGACTTTCTGCAATTATTGCAAAAAAGCACATTTATTATTTTTGCTTCTTCACTTTACATTATCTTCACATTTTCAGTTTTTGGATAGTGGAGGAAATGTGTATGTAATTCAATTAAAATTACATACTGCAGTTGGCTAATAAATTTGTCTTACATATATGAACTAATCAGTTAGGTAGCCAGTGTTATTTTAGGGTATTCAGTCGTCCAGGGTTTTTATATTAAAAATCTGAATTTCAAACAATAATAAAATAAAGAAAACATGGTTATGCCTGTTAAATAAATCATTTGTATTTGCAAACATATGTACGTGAATTCAAGAGGCAAAAAATTGTCTTTAAAGTTTTTGGGTAGTTGGTTCACAGAAAAATCTGTAGTTTAGAAAAGATGTTAGTGAAAATTCACTGTTTTTGTTGTTGGAAATGATTAGTTTGAAGTCAGCAACATGTTTCTTTTAACACATGTTGGGAGAAAAGGAAAAATCTATGAAGCCACATCTCTCTTCTACTTGGAGACAATTGTATCTCTGCTCCTTGAAAAGTGAAATTTTTCCTAAAAGTAGGGCCAAGAAAATAGGTTTTTAGTTTTCTCTGATTGGTTATATATTTTATATAGTGATGTTAATTTCTAACCAATAGACACTTTGATTTAAATGTATTGTGGGATCTTTTTGGCATGTTTGTAAATATTGTCAGTTATTAGGCAGAAAACAAAGTTTAGGCATGTTTTAATATGGTTGGTAATTGTGTTTATTTACTATAGTATCAAAAAATATTTTTTCTGCAAGATTTTTCTATAATGCATTTTTTCTTTTTAAAATCATTTCACCCCCAAGCAAGACAATAAAGCCACTAAGATGCAAGAG